GGAATGAATCTTTTCAAGGGTTTGGAGATCCTACGAAAAGGTTAAAAGGCAGACAAAAGTCAAAGAAGCCTAGATCAAATGGTGATAAGTATGTTCACCGCACTCAAACATGAAAAAGAAGAATCCAAGACTTATCTTTTATGATCTAATTGAAGATTAGGACAAATTTTAATTTATGCCAACATAATCCTTATTTTTACTTGTATTTTTTTTTACCAAAATTAATATTTTAATTAAATATTTTCTTATGTCTTTGGTTAGTAGGTTGGATTAGATTGGTTATTAGGCATTTTTTTAGAATTTTATATTTTATTATGTTTAGTGGGTTTCACCTTGCTACTATTTTCTTTTTCATGTTTCTACAAGTGCTAATTGTCAAACTTGCACCATCTACATTAGAACCAGAGACTCTTATCTTTATTGCGTTAGATTGCATACTGTCTTTATGGTCATTAACCATCAAACTTACATCATCTATGTTAGAAACGAAGAGTCTTTTCATTTCTTTATATTTCATTCCATCTTTGATGTGATTAACCATCATATTTGCACCATTTATGTTAGAACTAGAAACCATTCTCTCATGTTTTCTAATGTACCATGTACCTTGTGAGGCAAAATCTCCCAGTCTACCTATGAATGAAAGTCACATTGACTGTGTAACACCCTCTTTTTCATTTTTGGTTAAATGATGAATTATTTAGTATTATATAGTGTTCGGATGTATTTGAGAATGAATTTTGAGCATTTTGATTTTGCAGAAATTTGGTGCAGGGGATCTCGCTCAGGCGAGATAGGTTTCACTCGAGTGAGACTAAGCATCCACAACCACATGTTATCAAGGCAATCTCGCTCAAGCAAGATTATTCTCGCTCAGGTGAGAGAGAATAAATTTAGCCCAATTGTCACCTTGCCCAGGCGAGAGTGATCTTGCTCAAGCTAAGATCTCACCCAGGTGAGATGAGTCGCTCAGATGAGGACTCACAAGAAAAACATCCAGCTTTCTGGACGTCATCTCACTTAGATGAAATTGACCCTTACTCAAGCGAAGATAGTAGAAAAAATTTAGGGAACCACTGTGCTGTATTCTTAACTAGGCATGAATCACGTCGGTCAGGCAAGAATTCCTTCACTTAGGCAAGAGCCCGCTTGCTCAAGTGAGAATGCGCGAGGTTTAGGGAGTATTTAAGAGATTTCATACCTAAGACTTGCAATACACTCCAAGAAACATTTCCTAACTCTTTTTCTCTTAACTCTCTCTTTCCTTCTCAAGAGAAAAGCCTTATAAACTTCAAAGTTACTCTGAATTCGAGCTTGAACCTTAACTCTACAAGATTGTTGGGTTTCTCAGAGCTTGGTGATAAAGTCCACATTTTACTGCATTTTTAGCTTAGTTTTTAGTAGTAAATAAGTAGTAAAATAATAAATAAACATGAAAGTACCATAAAAATTGCATTTATATTCATAATTGTGTAAATAGTTAGAATTTTAGATTTTATCCCAATTCTAGGATAATTTTGTTGAAAAGAGTTAATTTTGTGCTGAAGCTTGAGTTAGAGATTTTAAAGTTGAGATTCAAATGAAGAAAGTGGAAGATTTGAGGTTAAAAAGTCAAGAATCAACTGATATGTGCTGGGCGTTACAACTTTGGGTGCATAGAGTAGCAGAAACTCTAGAGGTTCCCAGATATGTAGAAGTTTAAAGTGAACACTTTAAGTGTTCAAAGTTAACACTTTGAAGAAGAAAATCCATGAAGATCATGCACGTAGCAACTCCAAGCACTGACAGTGTTTACACATAAGGCTAAATCACATGAGAGGCTTGGGCAGAGCAACTTTACGCATTGAAAGTATCAACGTAAAGTTGCAAGTAGCAACTCTAAGCACTGAAAGTGTCTACGCGTAAGGCAAATTCCAGCTGAAGGCTTGCGCGTAACAACTTTATATGTATAGAGTGTTAACATGCAGCCACGCGTAGCAACTCTATACAGTTAGAGTGTTAACGCATAATAACAGAATTTAGTAAATCGCTTTCAAGTGTCAACTTCGAGTGTTTAAAGTTCCTACTTCAGCCTTAGAAACTTCTAGAAGGCCTTTTGCATTACAACTTCAAGTGATTAAAGTGTTAACGCAGAGTGGCGGGAAAAAAATATAAATAACAATGGGAAGTTCATATTTGTAATCTTTTGTCAATTTTTCATTTCCATTTATTTTAACTTCCTAGGAGAGCTAGAGAGAGAGAGATTGGGATCAACTTTCAACCTTTATTTCTAGAGGAATCAAGGTGAAGATTGGGTTTTTGAAGATGTTCTTTTGATCATCTTCTTCTTCTTCTCTTGCTTTTCCTTCTCCACTTGTAATGTTGTTCTAAACCTTTTTTTGTTAGAGATCTATAGATCCAGATTTAATATTGTGATGTAATTTTGGATCTGGACCTTGAGGTTTCAATTGAATTGAGCATTTGATTATGTTTTAATGCAATTTTTGGACTGATCATTCAATTGAATTGGACCTAGAGGAATTTTCATCAATGAAAGTTGAGTTAATTTCTCATATCTGAATCATATGCCTAGGTTATTGATATCTTAGGAATAAGCATTCATAACCTAGTAATCCTATAATTTTCAAAACTTAATGCAATGTTTAATTGGACTGCACTTAAGGAATTAGGGTAGTTTAGTTAGATACTAGGATCAATGAGGCAAAGAATTGTCCTTTGGTTAAATAAGTGAAATTGATTATCAACCAATTAGAATTCTTAAGAGTCTAAAACATAATTATATTGCAATTGAAAATTTGGTGAAGTGATTCCTACCTACTTTCCATATAGCATTTTAATATAAATTTGTATTCAGTTTTTACAGCACCTTTATTACTTTCTATTGTTGTTATTTCTTATTTTTACATGTTACAAATCTATCAAATCAATTGTATGGCTCAACTTATTGTTAAATTGTGAAGTGGTAATTGAAAAATAAGATCCTTGTGGATGATACTCGGGACTCAAATTGAATTACAAATTTTATTACTTGCAACAACTACTTAGTACACTTGCTAGTTAATAATTTTATGTGAAGCAAACTATTGCAATCCATTACCTAACACTTGGATCTTTGTTCTCATCTCTATTTTCCCTATTTTCTTTCTTTTCAAAAGATGTTCTTCTCTGTAATGTGTAGCCTTTTAAACGACCCTTTTCACTAACTTCTTCACTAAACTTGTTCATTGAGGTAAGGAGAGCTCTATTCTGTTACTGAAAACATGATTTGTTGTGTTTGTATGGACGTGGCTATGTGCCCTTGTTTGTAAATATATGTCTAAATGTCCTTGTTTGATCACTGTATCGGCAACATCACCTTCACCAATTTTAAAAGCACAAAACAGAACTCCAACCAAGGAGCTCTGAAACCAGTTTTTAGGAAAGATATCAAATATAACAATAACATGCAGAAGCAAACTAGATCTTTCTTTTCCCACTGTGCAATTAAAATTGGCTCTACACAGTATTTAGTCAATTGATAATGAACGCATAATAGAGAAAGTAAACAAGAAGATCAAAATTATTAACATGGGAAAACCCTGAATGAAAGGTAAAAACCCACGGGGCCTAGTCCAACAAAATTTTCCACTAATAAATTTAATGGGTACACCACAAGTCTTCCTGGAACCACTAGAGATCAACACAAAATACAAACTTCACCGATATAGTGGATAACAATATAATAAACCCTCAATGGATATTCGGCTATAGCGACAAGAAAGGAAATTACAGCAATACCAGGATCTTAATGCACATATTATGCAAACTAACCAATTAATACTGTGACTTTTCTTCGCTGCTATCTTTCGTCTTTTTCTTAAGACGATTTCTTTTCTATCTCGTACTCTCTTTTGAGACGGCTTCTATTTTTCTCGTGTGCTCTCTATTGAGATAGCTTCTATTTTTTCTCGTGCTCACACACTCACAATTCTACGAGATTATTTCTCTGTCTTTGTAACTTCTCATAACACACATTTTTTTTCTTTTTCTTTTTACAAAATCAGCGTACGCCCACTTGATAGTGACCCACCTGATAGTAATAATCTCATTTCCTGGTCTTCCAAGAAGAAACTAGTGGTGTCAAGGTCCAACACAAAAGCAGAATATCGCAGCTTGGCTACTATACAGCTGAATTAGCTTGGCTACGATCCTTGTTGACTGAACTTCAAGTATTTGTGTCTCAAATTCCTACTATTTATTTGATAATTTGAGTGTTGTTCTACTTGCTGCCAATCATATTCTTTATTCTTGTACTAAACACTTTGAATTAGATCTTTACTTTGTTGGGGAGAAAATTCAATAGAAGCAACTCTTAATTCATCATATTTAATTTCTTCATTTGAGCAAACTGCTAATCCACTCACCAAATCATTTCCTCAAGCTCTTTTCACTCAATGTCAATCCAAACTTAAGTTTCATGATTCATCACCCATGAGTTTGTAGGGGTGTAGACGATTATGCAGTTAGGAGTTAGTTATGACTAGCTATCATTCTGTTAAGAATTTGTTAGTGAATCATTCTCTATGTATCTTGTATAAATAAATTCTATTTATTTAATTTTAAATACAAATCATTAAATAACATTTCACATTACTTTTCTTATTCAATAATTCTCTCTTATTCCCTTTTACCATTGATCTTGTGCTATATGTAACTTCCTAAAATACTTTTTCTTTCTTTTGTTGATGAGGGGAAGGAAAACTGAGAAAGAAGCTACAAACTAACACAAACAGCTAAATAAATTTTAACTTTTTTTCATTTTTCTTTTTTGGGGCTTTTTTCAATAATCCTCATCTCCTATATTCATGAATTAATCTTCAGCATTTATGCACAAAAATTTCTTTATCTATATATCTTAGAACATCATACCGTCACAATATCACCTATTGAAAATGTGTTCCCAAATCCCTGAAATCCTTAGCAGTAAAATGCTTTTTACAACAATATGAAAACTTAATAGCTCAGGAAGGATGAGCAGCCAATACTATATCGACAATATCAACAACCACTGGGCTTTGTTGACTATTAGTGACTGTCTCCTCTGCATTTCTTGTTACTGTGGTAGTACTTACTCTTCTCTTACTTCTTGATTGGAGTCTTGAACAACTACTAGCAAAATATGTGGTTATCCATCTCCATATTCTCCTTACTTGTGTTAATGTTATGTGTATGTGACTAGTCAAGGTCTCTACATTCTTCATGAACAAACAAATCATATTATACAACAATGCCAAAATAGCAATAGTAGAACAAATGCAAAATAGGCCAAGGAAAGGCTGAAGTCCTATTGAAGACCCATCTTTTTCCTTTTTCTCTGAAGGAGAACAATTGGCTTTGGTTCCCCTTGATAGCATATATTTTTCTAGTTGCTCTATTTCTCCACTCTCTATCACTTTAAGCAATGCCTCAGATATGTCAATAGCCAGATTGGAGCCCTTTGGAAATACCTAAGTTGTCAAACACCCAAAATGTACATACTAGTTAGATCAATCTTCAGAAATAGGAAAAACATTTTTCAAAATTAGCATGCGCAATATCTTGTAAATTATGTTTGGTATGAATGATAATTGGGGAACACAATAAGCTGCATTTAATATGTGAAAGCATCCATTATTTCTCCAATTTCAAATTTTCCTTGTAGTTACCACATATTTCACTTATATCAAACATGTCGTAAAATGGTGATAATGAGAGGAGAGAGACCCACAAAACCAAAGCCACCAAGCTTCAAAGTGTTCCCTGCTTTGATGAAGCCCTTACATGAGTACATTGCCAAAAATACTTTAGCATGAGGTGAAACAAAGAAAGCGGCTTTGATATCCTTGTTCTGAAAGGCAGCAGGGTAATCACTTATGGATTTAATTTTCCTAATGTTCTCATGCTTGAATTTTAGCACATCAGTCAAATACTTCACAATAAACGAATTTCCATCACAACCAACCGGAGAATTTGTTTTCTGAAGGGTTTCAATATCTAATACTGATGGCTGTAGTTGAGAAACAGTCATCATGGATGTCAAACTTGCTGTGAAACTACTTGTTGCAATGAGGATAACAAATAACCATGGTGCTAGCACAGTTCGAGCCAAGGGGCTTCTAATTGATTCTCCTGCGCATTAGAATGTAGAGATGTACCAAGCATTAGGGATAGGCTTTCCAAAAGGAGCAAAAAGTGTGATTGGCAATATCATGTTCTGTATATAGTGAATACAACTGAGGGAACAATAGTACCCCTACATGCATTTTGACAAATATGCATCACTACTACTGTATTTTTATTTCCTTCATATTCATCCAATTTGAAAAGGTTCGTTTGGAAAAATTTATTGAAGTTGGTCAAAATACCTGGACAGTATTGTATTATAATACTAGAAGAAGTTTTGCTCGTCAATTGATATTGATATTGAAATTTATAAACTAAGAAATTTACTCTTATGAAATTGAACTTCTTGATAGAAGACTTACTGTGTGCATAGAAAATTACAGTTACTAAAAACCAAAGCATGGACCCCAATCCCTGTAGTTCTTCATTAACTTGTCGTTCAATCAACCAAATGACAAACCCCACAAAAATGTGCAATGCTATCATCATCAACCACATCTCTTTTGTAAAGGCATCCATAAAAATCCATGTTTCATTAGGTTTAGCTGACTGCTCAGTAACTACCATGTCGAGGCCGGATTCAATATATGGTTGTGAGAAGTCGACTAAATGATATCTATAAGCCATTATTGATGTATCCCCCACAGCAGCATCCAATGTCTACATCAATTATAAAAGTTTAGAATTGTATGAACCAAAAGCAACATTATAAAAAATGTAGGAAAAAAGCAAGGGTTATGGCTTGTACAAAAATCTATAACAATTCCATACTACTAATAAGAAAGTGCTATATAACTCACTAAACTAGTACTAATTACCGTACCTTATTATGAACTCGACCAACCATTTCGTCATAAGATCCATTAAATGGAATGAACTCGTATTTCAAGTCATAAGGAAGATTATTAACGGCTGCTTTAAAGACATCTATTGAGAAACCAGTAATGGAAGTTGTATTCTTGCTCTGATCATATGTCACATTCACAAACTGACTAAAGGCACCTTCTGAAGGTACTGCTATTTGCATTGCCCTTTCCTTAGTGTTGTCAGTCCATCCTTTAGGAACAAATTGTAAGCCTCCTGGCCAATAAACTGTGCTCAAAACTCCATTAGAAACATTATTCGTTTTCATATTCTGTAAGTGATGGGTGACAAAGTTCTTTGAGAAACCTAGTGTTGGAGACCATAATGCCAACTCTTTGTAACTTTTCCCTATCACATTAATTATATTGAAGGGTGGTGATTGTCGTAATTTGCTATTCCTGGAGATATTACTTTTGAATAATTCATCAAGGGTCAACTTCCCTTGTGATTTATTTGCAGCTTTAGCAATATCCCAGGTTGTATCATATGATTGAAGTGCAAAGAAACTTGGGTTGATGTTCTCTTCTTCAGGAAACTCCAGTGCAAATCTGGTTCGAAATTTGAGCTTGAACTTTCTAAATGCTTCGCTCGTTTCGTTGAAGTGTGTCTTAAATCCAATAACTCCTTGCATGTTAGAGATAACAGAAGAGTTAACTGAATCAAGAAGGCCGGCAACCACATTTGGGATAACCCACACAGAACCTTTTTCCATCAAACCCATTTGCTTTGCTTTCTCAAAAAGTATACTAGACAACTCTAAAGAAGATTGCACGATCAAGAAGACCCTATTACTCTTGCTTTTGAGCTTATTAAGCTCATGTTCAATTGTAGCTTTTGGGTCAGATAGAGTGGATAAAGAAGGCAAAGATAAGTGGTTATCAATCTCAGAACCAACAAGTCTAAGAGAATAGGAGAGTTCAAGTAGTATTCCTGGATCATAAGAAAACCCGTTGTTAACTTCATAGATTATTGTCACCTTTTGCCATTTGAATTCTCCTACAATTGCTGCAATGCATTGCATGTGAAACCTCATATCATCTCCCAAATTAATGACGTGTGGCAATTGAGGAGATAATAAATCTTTGCTTGTTGTTGGGGAACTGAGAGAGAATATTGGAATGGTCTTCATGTAGTCATTTAATTCGCGTGCCAGAGTTGCTTCGTTTTGTGTTAATGTTCCTATGATAGCTTGGACTTGCTTGCTCTCAGCGAGATCCGTAGCTATATTTTATAAAAGCATAATGACGTTAGAATCTTTCATTTACAAAATTCCAAGTTCCAATCAATAAATGAGAGAACTAAAGGAAAATAGTAAATATCATACTACCAATTTTTACTTTTGTGCCAAGCATAATCATGAATTGAAAAAGGTTGATGATTTTTGTATTTTAAAAAATTTTAATTAAATAATTAGTTTCTAAATATATTATATTTTTATTTTAATTCTTAGAAAAGTTTTATTCAGTTTTAATCTTAATATCTAAAAAAAATATGTGATTTTAGTCAAATATAAGAACTAAAATTAAATAAAATTATATTAAAAAAACGAACATAAACATTATTATAATTCTCAACTCCTTATTTATAATTGAATAAAAATCTGCTTTTCTTTTTATAAATAAACTCGTACTGTCGTACATTTTTATGGTTGACATTTATAAGTATGTGGTTATGGTTAAATAAACACTAATACACTGGTATGGTTAAAACGATATATATTAAGTAAGGAATATTTTACTTGAGAAGTATTAACAATACATTTTTTAACACACTTTATTATAGCACACATATTTTAATCGGTCAATTTTTTAAAAAAGAATAAATCACGTACCTCACTAGTTAATTATTTTTTAAAATTATTTTAACTTTTAAAAAATTGACTAATCACATAAAATATGTCAAAAGTCTATTTGTAGCATTTCTCATACTTTTAATACGTAAAAAATTGGTAAAGGTATATCTTAAATGTTGTTTAAAATTTTAAATTATATGATTAATTGATTTTAATATTCTAATTGATGTTATAAACAATTTTTATATTCTATATATCAAATGTATAAACTAAGGGACATTAAATAAAGTTTTATAATTTTTAATTATTTAATATAACTAGTTTCAATATTGTGAGTTAGCCTTATGAATCTATTGTGAGGCTACGGGCTAATAAATTGTATTCAAAACTGCAGTAAAACCATTATTTATGTTTATCTCCATTTGTTGACGTCACACAAAAATTCTTGAAAAATCAAAGTTTTAGTGAACAGACTGCATAACTTTTCCATATTACATTAAGGTTAAATTAAAAAAAAAATATTTACACCACTTTTTTAGTCTAGTCTAGACATAAAAAAAATACTACATATAAATTAGTAACTATCGTTTTAGTGTTGAAGTATTTTTCTTATAGGAAGTAAATACAAAATTATAGCATGACCAAAATGTAAAAAATAAGTCATATAGAGGCTAAATCTAATGCCATTGGAAGACCGACAAATGACAAGAATCACTTTAGAAATAAATTTTCATGCAAGAACCACAGCGTAGAGTTTTGCATATAAGTAAAACAAAAAGCAATTTTAGCTGTAAATTTTAATTTAACCTCACAGGTTACAGAAAATTATCATTCTTGCAGGTAGTATTTTCACTTAGAATGTTTAATTTCATGTAAAAATTTACAGTAGACATATATTGTTTTAATGCGTTAAGTAAATTTTAACGCGTATATGATCACATGTTTAGTCTATCAAATTTAGTCTATCACTTGGGTTATATACGAAGTTGCATCATAGGATCAAAGTGCACAGATATTTGGCTTTAAGTTCTCTCGTGGTTGTAAATGGGAAAGCGCGTCACGGGGTGTTTGAAAATCACAAGATATTTTTGTTACATGTTTGAACTTAAACTTGATATTTTGGACTGTTAAAGTCATTGTGATAAATGTTTAAAAAACAAAGTATCAAATAGGAAATTTTAATTTTGGAGGCGATTTTTTGTTGCTTCTGTGTTATTATTCCTATGAATGTGAATATATGAATGCAACCAAGAAAGGAAGGATTAAAAGAACAGAGGAAAGACAAGGGAGAAACTATAATGTGATGCTATACGCAGAAGTGCCCTATTGAAGCTCATAAGAGAAAAAGTGGGTGGAAGGAAAATTACCACTAGCAATTGCTCGAGCCGAATTCCCAAGAGAATTTTGTACATTCAAATCCAGCTTGGAACAACTCAAGAGATTGAATTCTTCTATTGCAATTTCCATGGCTATCTTCTGTTGCTTTCCCATTAGTGAATACAAATCAAGCACAGCACCAATGTTCATAATGGGCTTTGGGGTGATTAAACAATGGTCTCTTCCTTCAGTAGCTAATAGTACCCTTGACCTTGCAAACAATTGCAAGACAAAGAAGAAGATAGTTAGTGACATGGGAGAACAGCCCAATGCAGAAATTTCTAGCAATCAAGAGAGTGCCACGAAATTGAACAATTGACTTTAAGCATTATCATTTATATATGAGCCCCACATTCTTTCCTTTCCTCGGACTTCTTCCTAGTTTAATTTTGTTCTAATAACATCCCAGTGGATTCGTTCTGCTTCTATTTGTTTCTTATTCCCATCGTTTACAAGAGCATGTTAGCCAACCGATTATATAATTATGAAAAATAAGCGCTTGTTATTTTTCTAAAGTTTTTTTAGGAAATTGAAAAATAAAGTGATTGTTTCTCGAAAAACTAATTTAAATAGGTATATCCCAGATCTTATATTGACTTATATGCTTGGTACATTTTTGGGACCAATTACTAGTACACGAAGTTTATGCGTTGTTTTGAAAGGTTTTATTAGTATTGTTTATAGATTATAATTAAAATTTTATTTTATTAAAAAATTTATATTTAATATTATTGCATGTTATCGAAATAAATTATAATTTTAAATAATAAATAGTACTAATAACACTGAAAGAGCTATACTTAAATTAAAAAAATATGTTTGACTGAGTATATTCTGAGAGCAAAGTCAACGGAAGACAATGCGCTAGTAGTGTTTACTACTCAAAAAATGGTAATCGTTGCTGCGTAAAAAAGCGATTTTGGTGATTGGGTGTTTGAGTGGGTCTTGATGGGAGCTTTCCAAGCATTTGCCTGTTTTGAATACATCCATAATATGTTAATAATTGAATATTCTTTGTATCTGCATATTCGGACCATTTAATTGCATTAAGAGGGATCTTATTGGTGTTTGATGCTATGTACAAGTCATTGCAGTAGAAATACAACAGTGCATAGATTGGTCTACTTCTGATATTTGACCAATTTTGCAAGAATTGTGAGGTATTTCAACTTATTTTGCGTGGTGTAGGACAAATGGACACATCCTTTTTAATATAAAAGTCAATCAACACCAAGTAATCTTTGGATGGATGCTTTCTCTAACCGATATATTGAAACCTCCATCAAAATGACACTCTACATATAAGTAGTTAAATCTAGAGTCATTTTTCCTAATATATATTTTAGTAATTTTTACTTTCTTATTTAATTTTAAAAAATATAATTATTAGAATTAATATTACGTTAATTACTCCTTTTTTTTCTCAAATTATCATCTATAATAATCAATTTTTTTTATTTTTCTTTTAATTATTATGTCTTCTCACGTTAATACAATATAAAGTTAGCTTGTCTAAAGGGCATTTCAACAGTTTTAAATATTTTTTAATTATAAGAAATAATATTACTTTAAATATTATAATTATCATTAATATTAATTTGTTCCATTCTTAATTATTATTCTTTTCATATTAATTATTTATTCTATTGAGTATTCTTCTCCTTCTAAACTTTTTCAAATTCTCCATTCTATCCCTTTTAAAATTTTTCTCTTTAAAAATTATGGGAGTTGCACTCTTTCTCGTATTGGAATGATATCTCTTCTCTCTAATTTTTAAGTATGGTACGGAATTATTTTTATGTTTACAAAATTCATTGCGATTTTTTTTTCTAGATTTTCTTTCCTCCGTTTTCCACTATTTTTAGGTTTGTGACTTTTTTTTTCCTTTCATTTTTGTCTTTTTCTTAAGTATTCTTTTTTTTTTTTTTCAGTTTTATTTCTCTAATGATTTATCATTCTTAAGATTTTTTTCATATATCTTTCTCTTAAAAATATGTCGAAATCAATATCGATGTTTTATTCTATGTTCTTTAGCTATGTACAAACTCCATCTTCCATTTTTCATTTTACATTCCATCCACTCAATTTAATGATATTCATAATTTTGTAAGTGCATCACATTTTTTAATATATTTTCACCAAAATTTTATTTTTTATTTCTATTATTTTCCTCTTGTTTTTCAGTATGGACTACACTACAGCTGTTGTCTTGTAATAATATAATTTTTATGGTTTAAGGTGTTTCCAATAATAAAAAGTATATAGATTATTTTTCATATTAAAAGAATGATTAATCAATATCACGATAATGTGTTTTTTCATTTTTTATGTTCTATCATTTTTTATTTGTATGTTTATAAGAATGATTAATCAATATCACAATAATGATAATTTTAAGACCGTAGTATGTTAACGTTAGAAGGCTCAAACTTCAACAACCTAGTAACCCAATTTAGGTCAAGGAATCTCATATATATGAAGGCTTAAGACAAAATCAATACCCACACGACCAACACTTCATGCACATTCAACATAAGGCATCATAGCTATAAGGGTCACACTTTTGGCCAAGGGTTGTGTGGAACCTTCTTCAATTCAACCATACTAACCTGTATCATGAGGACATATATTTTACTACACTGGAATGCTACATAAATCGATGATTTACTTGAGTAATAGAGTGTTTTCGTAAGTACACACATTTAGAAATTATATGCATGATAATGGTAACAAAAGGCTAATAACTTTCAAGCTATATAAAATCTACATTTCAAAGCATATATACATACACTTATTATTAAGTTGACTTTAATGTTACTTTGTTATGGTGAACAAGACACCCACAACCACATCACTCTAAGCATTTAGATAAACGATACACTTGAAATCTTTCGTCATATATATAACTATACTAATATCAGGGAATGAGAGAATATACAACTACTTACTTACCTTACGGTTTCTCATTTGATGTTACTTTAAAAATTAAAAAAAAAAAATCATTATCGGCATGATTTAATTATTGAGTTCATTCCTCATAAGTTTAACTCAAAAGGGTACTATTTTTAATTTAACTAAAATTTGACTCTTCTAAAAAGTTTGTTCTTTGTGTGTTACCCTATAATTTCTTTTAATGTTTAATTATAATAATAAATATAAATATATTTAATATCAAGAAATAGTAAGTGATGACTAGTTATACATCACTATTATATATGTTATATGATTAGTCTTTTTGTCTATACATTTACATGAAACATGATATCTTATAAAATTTAATTTTATTTTCTTGATATTCAAGTAGACCTCTATAATTGTGCAATGGAGCAGGTTTAAGATACTTTCAAGAATCGCAGTTGAGTATTTGAGAACTTCTAGAACCAAATAGAATTCACTTAGCAGATTGCATCCTTAAGGGAACAATTGTTAGCCTAAGTATACCAGAATGAGGAAGTCCACTACATGGGAATCCCAGCCACTATAGTGACTTTGCACAAGAATGGGAATTGAATGAAGACATAAACTACAGTTAAAGACAAACTCAAAAATAATACAATCAAGAACCTTATAGTTCAAAACAGTCCAATCAACACCAATAATTTTTTTGGAATCATTACTCATACCACAACCACAGCCAAACAGGAATTCAAAGTCAAAAGATACATTAGATCAATATCTGCAGATGTCAAAGAACTACCAAAAAAGCAAGCTAGCTTTAAAGTTAGAAGACACCTTGAAACAATTCATGCAGGCAACTGTAGCCTATCAGTAGAGAAGGGAAGCTTTAATGACAAATCTTGATGATCAGTCTGACTAACTTGTGAATCAACTGACAAAGCAAAGAGAAGAATAATTCTCAATCAATACTCAACCCAATACAGAGGAACAAGACAATATCATCACAACAAAGGTTGAGACAAAGATGACTGACAATATTGTAACATCTTAGGCAAACCTTTCTCTGCCACTAGAAAAGCCATCATAGATGTCCAGGAAGGAAATCTCACTTTAAGGCTAAATGATACAAAAGTCATCTTTCAAGTTTTTAATTCTTTTAAGTATCCTTCTAGCCACAATTCTTGTAATATTGTGAGCATTGTGGATACTGTTTCTCGACCTTTGAATTCTATGAAGCATACTTAAGTAAAGAATGAAAATCTAACAAAAGAATATGGAATTTCAAGAAGAGGACTAAAGAACAAGCAATTTAAAGATTTAGAAAAACAAAAGCTCAAATCTCTCAGTAATAAACTCCTAGATTTAGAGCTTAAATCTTCTACTCTTAATTTTAATCATGTACTCTTTTCCACTTATTTGTCTCTCCTGTAAATAGTTTAATGAAATGGTGTGTTTTACAACTTCAATTACAAAATGATTTATCCGTCTATAAATCCGTCAAAGACAATTACAGAAAGAAAAATCTGTCTGTAAATAAGCAGATAAAAAGTCGGTAAAAAAAAGGCCATATTTACTGATAGATTTTTCCTGTCTATAACTTTTGCTCTAAAATTCCCCCTAATTTTCAAATTACAATAAAAAATTTCCGTCTGTAATTCTATATATGAATTTTCGCGCCAAATGATGGGTTGTATATAGTTTCTGGTAGTGCAATATGTTCCTTATTTCATGCTCTTGAATGAATTCTTGTACTTTTTTTCCTTATATAACAATTTGAAATTTTTATCCTTAAATGAACCCAAGTTTTTTCTAATAGAAGACCATGTTTAGTGATTATTAATTACTAAATTAAGATTTTTATTCCAAAACTAATAATTAGATAAGTTTCCTAATTTTCTACACTGTTAAAATTATCTAACATATGTGAGTTTTGAGGCTTTTGAGATATTATTACCCTAATTTAATTGATGGTACCCCTTTTCTCATTAATTTGGGTGATTATCCCCTTAGAATTTGTAATCTAGAACTTGACTTATAACCGACTTATTACTCTTTTAATTGCGTATTTTAATATGATTGAGGCACATTAAGATAAATATTTCTTGGCCTTCAGCATATTTAAGATACACCTAGTTATTTACTTTGAGATTTATTAATTTTCTTTTGGTCACTTATATGAAATTATATAAAATATTTTGATGACCTTGAGTTTATGGATAAAGCAATTGGGTTAAAATGTATAAGAAGTAGCAAGCTTTTATTATATGTATTCTCATCTACTTCTCTTATGTGCAAAAAAAATAAAAAATGTTGAAATATAAAAAGGAGAATGAAAATACCAAAAAGAAAAGAAAAGAAAGAGTTACAAATGAATGAAAGGAAAAAGGAGTAAGAAATTGATTATATGTAAAATATGTAAGTTACTCCAAGAGCTTCATTTATAAACTTGAGTGCTTGTTAATCTTTCTAATTTATTACTTTTTTATGTATCCTTTATTTTCATCTATTTCACGTTTGACTATTAAGACCCTTTAGCCACATTACCACCTGAAAAAGATCTTATGATTTTTACTTGCATTCAATCTACTTAGTTAAGACTCAGTCTGTGGTCTAGTCTATGGTAGTACACTTTTATTTGAAAGAACTGTGTGATATCTCATTTTTGTTCCTAATATTTGAATGAAAAGTTAGGGACTATAAGATTCTGGTTAGAGAACCTTTTGATTGCTTATGTTTAGTGATATTACTCCTTTTGTCTTTGTCACGACTCCTTTTTATAAGGAACCGAGAACATTATTTCTACACTACTTACTTATTTATGATAGATAAATAATGAAGAATATAAGTATAAATTTTTTTTTTATTCAAAATAAACAAAGTTCTTTACAATAATATCCAACAGAACAACATAATTACATTTAGTTCATAATACTCAAAATACAGAGAAAATTATACTACATAACTTCCTCTATATGAGGTCTCAAAATATAAGGAAAATGATTTTATTGTAAAATTACTCGACTCCAGCCTTCTAAAACTTCTCCACTAGTCGCTCAACCTTTGAAGTAGATGCAATACCTGCTATATCTACTCACGTACCATCATACGATCATCACAATACTGCAAGGGTGAGCATACAAATGAAAAATCATATATATAGAAAGCAAAATATTACTCACAGTAATAGCCCCCCATGCATTCCTAACCCATCTATTGCACAGCATAAAAATAATTTTCAACTGGTTTCACGGCCTAAGTATTCCAAAAGGAACTAAGCCAATCCGGGAGCAACCTATTCCGGTATCTAGATTCATACAATACAGCACAGCTCAGCATGCTTTATCGTTACACGTCTACCCACCTAAACATGTAACTCGACTCTATAATGAAGTAAGTCATATATCTCAGTATGATGTAGCACAGACAAAATCATATTCTCAACAGCTCAACTCAACTAAAACAATTCATAATTTTCAGCCAAATCTCAACATTTTAAATCAACAGTAGTTACAACTTAGAAAATAACTTTTATCCAAGAGATCTGACAAAATCACCTCAAAACTTTTTGTAATAGAATATCAAATTGTTCCAAACATCGCTTAATAGTTAAATTAAGCTCCCTTCACCTTAGGACAGCGATTCACACTAGATCTACTGAATATTACTTGTTTTAAGACAAGATCCACCGAAGATTTAACTCTATAATGAAGTTTCTCCTACGACATCATTAACTATCTATACGAAAGAAAAGAAAAAGAGAAACGAACAGTAAATCTAACTTTAAACTCATAGAAACTTACTTCAGATCCTTTAGAGCAGACGTAGAATCTCAGATTTGGTGAGAAATATAAGTTTATAAGGGTTTAGTATGAGAGAAAATGGTAGTGTATGGCCTTGGGTCTCTCTAGAAACTTTGAAAAGTGTGAAGAAATGAAAGTTTCGTGTAAGGCCCCCTATTTATAGGCAAAATTTCAAAAAAAAAAAAATTGGTACTGTTTACACCGACTATGCTGTTCACACCAGATTTACTGTTTACACAGACTTTACTGTTCACTTTTTTTTAAAATAATTTCAACTTCATCTAAATATATTTCAATACCAAATAATCTTTCAATTAACATTTAATAAGTACAAAATACTACAGATTACTCAATAATAAATTACAGGCCTGACAATTCTCTCTCTGAAAATAAATTTTCGTCCTTAGAAATTTCATCCCTTAGAGAAAAGATAAAGATACAACTCTTCTCTCATCTTCTCCTCTAATTTCCAAGTAGCATCCCTAGTAGCTAGGTCCCAAACAAGCTTCACAAGCCGAATAGACTTGCCTCTAAGCTTTTTAACCCTAGTGTCCTTAATATGAGCAGCTTGAACTTCAACAGATAAATCATCTCGTATCTCCACAACATCTTACTCGATTATATGAGACGGATCAGGAATATACTTCCTCAGCTGTGATATATGAAAAACATTATGTAACCCTACCAACTGAGGTGGTAAAGCTGGCTCATAATCTACTGGTCCTCTGCAATGCAATATCTGATACGGCTCAATGAACTTAGGAGTCAGCTTCTTTGCCTTCAATGCTCATCTTGCACCTGTAGTAAGTAACACTCTCAGGAATACATTATCTCAAACTTCAAACTCCAAGGGCCTCCTGCGTCGATCACCATAAGACTTCTGACGACTCTGAGTAACACTCAACTTTTCTCTGATAAGTTCAACTTTCTCCTTAGTTTCCTGCAGCATTTCAGGCCCAACCGTCAAATGTACTTCATCTTGGAACCAACAGATAAGGGTTCTACACCTTCTGCCATACAGAATCTCAAATGGTGCCATGTCTATACTTAAATGATAGCTATTATTATAAGTAAATTCTACCAAAGGAAATATATCCTCTCAATTACCAATCTGCTCCACAGTATAAGTCTACAACAAGTCTTCTAAGGTCTGAATAGTACACTTAGATTGACCATCTATCTGCGAATGAGAAGTGAATCGAGGATCTCTATCAGAGATAATACTAGAACATACTCCATGCAACTTGACAATCTCTCTAATGTACAATTCTACTAATTTCTCCAAGCTATAGGTCATGTTGATCGGCAAAAGATGCGCACTTTTGGTCAACCTATCAACTATGACCCACACAGCATCATGATTCTTAATTGTTCTAGGCAGATAGGACACCAAATCCATAGTCACATGGTCCCACTTCCACTCCAGAATTTCCATCATTTGCAACTCTCCTGCAAGACTTTAGTGCTCTGCCTTTGCCTTCTGGCAAGTCAAATAAGCTTTAATAAACTCAGTTATCTCTCGCTTCATGCCTGACCACCAAAACATCTACTTCAAATCTTGATACATCTTGGTAACACTAGGATAAATGTTGAGACTACCCTTATATCCTTCTTCTAAAATTGCTCTCTTTAATTCAACATCTCCAAGGACACAGACTCAACCTTGGCATCTGAGAATACCATCAGCACCTCTACTAAAACTCTTTGTCTTATATATCCCCAAGAGAAATACAGTTTGACATAACATAGGATCCAACAACTGTTTGTCTTTAATTTCCAGCAAGAAATTGTTAGTTACCACAATCCAGCCACAACTAATCTTTTCAGGTGATAAGTCCACATGTAAATTCAGGTCTCAGAATTGTTCTACAAAAGAGTTTCACTAACTCTTAAGGAAAATGCCTAAACCACATTCCTGCTTAATGCATCAGCCACCACAATATTAGCTTTTCCTGGATAGTATTGGAGCTAAAAATCATAATCCTTAAGGAATTTCATCCAATGCCTCTGCCTCATATTTAACTCTCACTGATCAAAAAAATACTTTACACTCTTGTGATCACTATACACATCAAACGGAGCTCCATAAAGATAGTGCTGTCACACCTTTAAAGTAAAGACTACAACAGCTAACTCAAGGTCATAGGTCAGGTCACTTCACTCAGGAGTTCGTAACTGGCGAGACGCATAAGCTACCACCCTTTTATCTTGCATTAACACACACCTAATCCTTGATGTGAAGCATCACAATACACCTCAAATGGCCAGCTAGTATCAGGGAGAATCAACACCAGTGAGGAAGTTAGTCTTTGCTTCAACTCATTAAATCTTTGCTCACATTTCTCAGTCCATACAAAAGGTTGATCACGGCAAGTTAACCGTGTCATTGTAGCTATAAATCCCTCTATAAATCTCCGGTAGTAACCTGCTAAGCCCAAAAAACTTTGAATCTTTGTAGCTATTTTGGGCCTTTCCTACTGCAACACTACTTTAACTTTGGAAGGATCAACTACAATTCTCTTAACTGAAATAACATGGCCAAGGAACTTCACTTTCCTCTAGCCAAAACTCACACTTAGACAATTTAGTATACAATTGTTTCTCCTTCAAAATACCTAATACAGTCCTCAAATGCTCTACATGTTCCTCTGGTGAACTAGAATAAACCCAGATATCATCAATAAAGACTACTACAAACCGATTTATAAAAGGTCTAAAGATCCAGTTCATGTAGTTCATAAACACTATCAGAGCATTAGTGACTCCAAAAGGCATCACTATATACTCATAATGACCATATCTAGTGCAGAATGTTGTCTTTGGGATATCTTCATCCTTTACTCCGATCTGATGGTACCCAGACTTCAAATCAATCTTAGAGAATATTTTAGCGCCTCATAACTGATCCATCAAATAATCAATACGTGGCAACGAGTACTAATTCTTGATTATCAACTTATTTAGCTTACGAAAATCAGCACACAACCAAAAACTTCCATCCTTCTTTTTACCAATAGAACTGGTGCTTCCCAAGGTGATACACTCAGCCTAATCATCAGTTCTGCATTAGATCCTCAATCTGCTCCTTAAGCTCCATTAACTTTTTTGACTTCATTCTGTAAGGTGCTACAGACACTGGTTAAGCTCCAGGAATCAAGTCTGTAGCAAACACCACCTCTCTATGTAGAGGTATTCCAGGAATATCCTCTGGAAGATCTCAGGGAATTTCCGTACTATTAGTATATACTGCAAACTCTGCTCATTCTCTGTATTCATAATGACCAAAAGAATATAACAAGAGACCCTTTAACTCAAGGATGCTTCTACTTGACGAGTAGAAGTTAGCTTAACATAGCCCTGCTGCTCAAGAAAAATCAGACATCTCTGCCCACAATCGATCACTACACAATTGGTAGTTAGCTAATCCATCCCTAAGATTACATCTAGTCCTGACATGGAGATACAAATAAGATTTACCTTCTACCTTCATCCCTCAACTACTATGGGACACCTAACACAAACTTTCAAAGTCTTGATCGAACTCATATTAGGTGTCAATACTACTATTTCACATCCTAGATCGCTCATCAACAACCCTAAGTTTATCACACAAATATCTCTAATCCACTGCTCAACCGCATCCGACCCATCAACTCCAGTAAACTTAGGCGGATCATTCTTCTTGAACTCAGACAATCCCTAATATTCAAGAGAAGGTAGAGTCGAGGCAGTGGTTGTTGCTGCCTATGCTACAACAGCGGCTTGATTTGCAGCTTGTTACTACTATATCACTTCTAGACTTTGCCTCACTGTGACTGTCATAGCCTCCATGCCATGAGCCATTTGGTTCACATCAGCAGGAGGATGAGGGTTTGCAGTAGACCTTTTCGGTATAGCCATCTTAATATATAAAATAAAACTAGCTTAGATTACTAACATTCAACACATTTAGCAATACCACAACATAACTATATTCATAAATTTAGCTTACAATAATATATTCATATTAAGTATATCATAGCAATTTAATCAATTTAGCGCTTAGCATAACATCATATTAGCATTCACACAGCATAGCAAACACACTTATCTCAGTAATCATTTACAACTTAACTTAACAGTCTATTATTCACACAACATGACTCGCCTATAGCTCACCCAAGTATCATATACCAAAATTTCCTACATCTTTTGTGTTTGAGAACCGAGGTGATCAAGCTCGTTCCCTCACAACTTGATGATTAGAAATTATGATATAAGATTCATAATTAAGACTCACATGCCTAATATGCACAACTAACGCCTAACAACCTCACCCCTTAAGTATACCTAGACCTTGCTCTGATACCACTAAAATGTCACTACCCTTTTTAATAAGGAACTTAAATATTATTTATACACCACTTACTTAGTTAAGATAGATAAATGATGGAGAATATAAGTATAAAATTCTCTTTTCATTGAAAATAAACAAACTTCCTTATAACAATATCCAACAGAACAACATAATTACATTTAGTTTGTAATACTCAAAACACACAAAAAATTATACTACATAACTTCCTCAATATGAGGTCTCAAAATATAAGGAAAAAAACTTTATTGCAAAATTACTCGACTCTAGCCTTTTAACAATTCTCCACTAGCCCCTTAGCCTGTGAAATAAATGCAACACCTGCTACATCTGCTCACGTACTATCGTACGATCATCGCAGTGGACACACACACAACAGCATAGACAGAAATGCAAGGGTGAACTTACAAAAGAAAAATCATATATAGAAAGCAAAATATTACTTGCAGCAACAACCCCATGCATTCCTAACCCATCTAATGTACAACATGAAAATAGTTTTCAATTGCTTTCACAGCCTAAGTATTCCAGAAGGAACTGAGTTAGTTCAAGAGCGACCCCATTCTGATATCTGGATCTAGACAGCATAGCTCAGAATGCTCTATCGTTACACGTCTACCCACCTAAATGTGTAACTTGGTTTTACACTAAAGTAAGTCATATACCTAAGTATGATACAGCACAGACAAAATCATATTTTCAACAGCTCAGCTCAGCTAAAATAATTCATAATATTTTAGCCAAATCTTAGTATTTCAAATCAATTAATAGCAGTTACAGCTTAAAAATAGCTTTTATCCAAGAGATTTGACAAAATTACCTCAAAACTTGTTGTAATAGCATGTCAAATCGTTCCAAACATCGTTTAATAGTTAAAGTAAGCTCCCCTTACCTTAGAACAGCGATTTACACCAGATCTACCGAATATTACTTGTTTTAAGGTAAGATCCACCGAAGATTTAGCTCTACAATGAAGTTTCTCCTAAGATATCATCAAATATCTATAAGAAAGAAAAGAAGAAGAGAAACAAATGGTAAATCTAACTTCAAACTTATAGAAACTTACTTCAAATCCTTTAGAACAGACGTAAAATCTTAGATCTGGTGAGAAATATAAGTTTATGAGAGTTTAGTATGAGAGAAAATGGTGTTGTATGGCCTTGGGTCTTTCTAGAACCTTTGAAAAGTGTAAAAAAATGAAAATTTCGCGCAAGGCCCTTATTTATAGGCAAAATTTTGAAAAGAACATTTTGGTACCGTTTTCGCCAACTTTAGTGTTCACTTTTTTTTTTGTTAATAATTTCAAACTCCATGTAAATCTATTCTATTACCAAATAATCTTTCAATTAACATTTAACAAGTACAAAACATTACAGATTACTCAATAATAAATTATAGGTCTGACAGTCTTCTGATCTCATATTTCTCGAGTTACTTGTTGGGATGATATATTTTAAGTTGATCCATTATTCTTAGCCAGGACTTTGTTTAAGGGCAAGCAAATCTCAAGTATGAGGATGTTGATAAGTCTATATTTTGATATGTTTTAACAGCCTATATTTACATATATGACTGTTATTGTATTATGATTTTAGACTAATTTTTATATTATTTGTGCAATTTAACATGAGAAGGTCACAATTGAATTTTGAGTTCAAATTGGATAGAAAAATAGGACCTCGCTT